TATATTCACACACAAATTTCACACTTGTAATAGCAAATCTTGGGTAACAAAGAATCAACATCATCAACAGCCTATAAATGCTAGCTGCTGAGCAAAGCCTCTTCCCACACGGAGAAGGCTAGAGCATTAATCACCACGCTTGCTCAATGCGGGTTGGCGATTACAAACTTATAATTAAAAATTATAAACCCAGATTTCCACACGATGTTTTCCTTTACCGTTTGTCAGTGGTGTCTAGATAATCTTAGAAATTACATATAACTCGGAAAAAGTCACATTGATATTTGCCGTTGGTAAGACCCGTGTCCTCATGCAAGAGAAGCGGGCGTCTTAAACCCCTGGGCCACCACGACATATCAAAGAATGGTTCCTTTAAACTAATCTGCCGTATTTACTCGGTTCAGCAGCCGGTTGCCTCACCACTAAGATCATCATGCACACAGCTTGAACTAGTTGTAATAAAACATGAAATTGTTAGTAAACGCACTCACGATAAGGAATAAGTCATTGCGCTTACGTTTATATGATTTCTTTTTGTTGGATAAGCCGGTGAACGAGCAGACGGATCACCTGATGGTAAGCAATATGCGTCGCCCATGGAGACTCGGAACACCAGAGGCATTACAAGTGCCCTTACCGTTTCCTGGCGTTTTGAGGATTAGCAGTTTTTGGATTGTTAGCGATTCAGGGATTGGGGAGATTGGTGATGACGATATAGAAAACTTCTTGCTCATCTTTGAAACCGCTCATCTAACAAGAAATCCTAACCCACCTATTTCCTACTATATATCCTTAGATACAATATATTCCACCACTAACTTGGTATCTCTCCAATCAGCAGCAATATAATTTACATAAGTGACTACAAACAAACACAAAGTACATACATATACTATATAAATAACTGTGTGTACGTTCGCTTATCTAAACACAAGAGCAAATTATAAGTTTATTTCTTAAGTGAATTTTATATATAGTGTGGTTCTTTAGTTGTGTTTTACAGAAAATTTATTTCAAAATAAATATAGAGCACAGAATTTGGCTCAAAATAAATATGTTAGTTTTAATGTCTGTTTGACAAGCCAAAGAGGAAATTTAAAAAAAATTGTTATAAGACAGACGACTTTATTGAACATTTTGGTTTCTTTCAACACTTTCATTACTCTAAATCAAGCTTTATCATCATGATTATCAGCCTGTTTTTGTTCACTGGTGTGCTTCAAATTCAATAATTCTAATTAAACAATATTACATTTAAACATGTTATATTTCTAAATAACGTTTCAACCAAAATACGGAGCCTTGGTACGGCATCAACGAATTTGTACGGCATACAGCCGAAACTTAATCCACCGTAAATTGAGAACATCCTGTAGAAAGCTCAGAAATTAAAGTATTATTTGCCATACGCTTCATTAATCCTCGCTACACTGTTACGGCGTAGCACCGTAGCAGCTACGCCGTAGTACAGTATACTGTAACAGTGATTACAGTGGGCTGAAGTGTTTAAATTAAGTTATTTGTCCTGAAACTTGATTTTGTAAGATAATATTTAATGTGTGTTCTGTGTTATTTTAAGTGTATTTCCAATTTGCAAATGGATACCACACAATGACATTTACTACAAAGACATTTGAATTTCAATCATTAAATTAATTAAACATAATTATAATAATTTACTATGATATATAACATAATGCATGTTTTACATACATATTGTTCAATTTATTTTATATGTCAATTTATTATATAAAACGACGAAACCCAGAATTAATCTCAAAAACAACAAAACATAACATCACACCTTTTGCGAAGTTGTAAGCAGAGGTGCACATTGTGGCACTTAATGCCACTGTTCATGTATTGGCCAGGGCTTCGCAGGAAAAGACTCAAGGAAATACTCAGCAAGTAGAAATTTAATGAGGTGTTAACTCAACGAGTACAGCACAGCAAGTGAAGAAATTAGCGTCGGTACATACAAAATAAATACAAATAAATATACTAGTTACTTAATTGCTAACATTATACTAAGCACACGTCGTTGCTATGGTATATCCAGCAGGCGCTCGTACA